CCGATCTCGGAGCAGGGCTTTCAGGGCAGGGTTCAGGTGTGGGTTTTGACTCCTTTCTTACCGACCCACGGGTGTCCCCAGAGGGAACCGACCCTGTCATGAGACGCACAGTCGAACACGCTCCCTCTCACATATTTAAAGTGAAAGGAGATGCAGTTCGCTCACGTCGGATACAGCCGGTACTCCGGGCGTTCCCTCAGAGTCATCCATCTGTATGACTCGGTGAGCCGCGCTTTTGGGGTGAGGCGGAGTATCATCGATCCCAGTGATACGATGTATATACCCCCACCCTTGATCCTAAAGCAACCACCTAAGGTTGCTTCAACGCTTATGGGATCACGGGCGTCGGGATCCAAAGCAACCCCGTCGGCAAGTCTCTCCCTGTCCGCCTAAGTGCGGAGTGGGGCGCAGAGCATGCAAACGGTGTTGATGGGCGGCGTTCGTCAGCCGTGGGGGATGTAATGCTTAAGGCCCTCGAGTGGGGATAACATAAGGCAACACTTCCCACTGGACCAAACGCGACCCGGTCGGTGTGGTTTTGGGATCAGACCCCATAGCGTGGGATGAGACCGAAACGCCCCCAACCGGATTCCAGGGCTCCTTCCCCAGACCCCGGTACCACGAATTTGGCAAACCGCGTTCCATGGGTGTCCTTCCCAATTGAAGACGACCCATCTAGCCCTGAGGGCAGAGTTGCTTGAGCACATTATGCGTGACCAGCACTCTGGAGACCTTGGAGGCAGAACGCACCAGCCTCCTAGACCAGGCAACATTTTTACTGGTGGGCCACCGCACATCTACATGCGACACCCCCTAGTGTCGCCTGGCTCTCTTGGCCAGGGCCACTACCATGCTACGAGATGCGGCCTTAGACGCATGTGTTTTTGCCGACATGCTGAGCCGGGGTACGTCCCCGCCTCAGTCACACAGACTGGACTCCCTCCACCCTCTTTGTTCAGGAAATGGTGTGCACAGTCTCGGAGCTTCGGAGTGCAATGAACCGGAGGGTTCAGTTTGAACCCGCTAGCCAGTTGGTCCTACCATGGGCAATCGGAGGGCACCCCAAGCACAGAAAACACAATGCCTTAGGGCGTTGACCGCTAGCTGGAGTCAGCCAGGAGGCAAGCGCTTATACCCTTCCATGGGAGGGGAGGGTAGTAGTGTGCCCCCAGGGAGGTAAGAGCCAGGTGGTGGCTCCTCGCCCTCCCTGGGCGGACATCTCCCCGGCAGCAGGGGAGGCATGTTTGACGCTCACCTCTGCAACCGGGGGGGACAGGCACGTGTTCGGTGAATGGCCAGGTCACAACTTAGTGACTACTTCAGGCCTTGGGGAACTCACCTCATGGGGGAAGGAAGCGCACCCCCCCCCCCTCGCAACTGCCGAACACATGGCCACATATCCCTGTCAACACAGATTGCGCCGGTGTAGTCCGGTTTGGAGACAACGGGTGACCGATCCCTGGACCTTTCCAGGTGGTGACATCAGTTTACGGGATACCGCTGAAATCTCCTTTTCCCCCCGTCAGTGTCCCCATCGTTGGGCACTGCCAGGGGACTCCCGCAAGGCGGAAGCAATCAGACAGGAAGTAGCAGTTTGCTGGGGAAAGACGCCATACACAGGGTACATCAGCCGGAACTAATGCCAGGCTTCTACCCATTGGCCAAATGTGTCCGTAGTACCAAATCTACAAGTGGCAGGCGTCCAGTTTTGGACCTAGGCAGACTGAATCAGTACGTGCTCCTCGATCGGTTCCACATGGAGACGCCATTCAGGGTT